TTTTATTTTTATATGTAATTTAATTATTTATAAAAATTAAATTTTTTTTTAAAATTATACTTTTCGAAATATGTATAAATATATATACATATGTAAAAAATGAAAAAAAATAAATTTATTGAAATAAGAATTAATTAAAAATTAAGAATTACATTTCATTTTATTCTCATATATATTTCATATAATTTCATTTTAGCAAAAATAAATTAATATTATAAATTTTTTTATTTTCATAAATTATTAAAAAATTTTATAAAATTTTTTATTATAATAAGTAGATATCAAACTAATTTAAAACATTACAAGAGTTATCTACGGATAAAGAAATAACATATAAAAAATTAAGAAAATAATTGATTTAAACAAAAATGCTCATAACTATTATAAAAAACTAAATATATTTTAAATCATTTACCTTTGATCTTATGTCATTTTTTTTTTTGCTATAAACATATTCTATTGTAAAATCACAGATATATTATATTATTGGTTCTTTTTCAATTTATCCACAGGATTCTACATTACCATCTTTTCTCTATAATTTAAATAACCTTATATTACATGCAAAGTTTATGCTTGCAAGTTTGAAAACATTTCCTTCTTTTTTATTATAAGAAATATGAGTGCTTATAACGTAATAACATCAGATTTTGTAAATCTATCCATTACTAATTCTAGCCAAAATTCATATTGTGTAGAACGACGATTTCAGAAAGGAATAACAATTGATGAATTTAAAGTAAGAATATAAACAATAATTATTTGATATTATTATATATTATTTTATTACATTAAAGGGAAAATTGGAACTTCTTACTGGTGGTAATCCAAAAACAATGAAAATTGAAGTATATGACAAAAATGATAAATTAATTTGCAAATTAGATGATAACCAACGTTTATTAGGATCATATCCTATCGATGATGGAATGCGATTACATGTAAAATAAATTTATTTAATAATATTCTTTTTAATTATAATAGTATTATATATATGTTATTTCAGGTAATAGATAATTTTTCTCGTACTGAAGAAAATTTAAGTAATGTAGAAAAATTTGAAATATCCGAAGAAGAATATGCTAAAAGAACGGGTAAAATAACACATAAATTATAATTAAAGATATTTACATAAAAAAATAATAAATTTTTAATATTTTCTATGTCATAAAATTAGCAAAATGAAATATTATTTATTAAAAAATATTTTTTCAAATTATTCTAGCTTAATATCATAAATTTTTTTAGTATATTTATAATTCTACTTAAAACTAATTAAAATATTTTGTAATTCATTTATATATATTATG